AGCAGGGGATGCTTTAGGGCGGGGCTACACAGTGATTGACAGGTTGACCAGAGACTTATACGGTGTCTCTACGTCACTCCTCCTCAGTCCATATATGGTGACTTCCTGTTCATCGTTTGTAATAAAGCCAACATGGCGACAGCCAAAGCGACTATGTCCACTTCTTATAGACGGTCTATGATTGTGGCGCTAGATCTGGTAAACAGCCTTGAACATGATGGTTGATATAAAAAAAACACTGAAGAAGGTCACATTGTAAATGCTGAGCTAAACTCAAATCATGGTGCTCACTGTCCAGATTAAACTGTGACCAACGGTGTGATTTCTCTCGTGTTTGTTCCCAGGCTTCGCTGTCGGTAGCCCTCGGGATACCGACGAGGAAGAGGAAACCCCTCACGGAGGCTGAGCTGGAGCTCAGACACCAGAGACGAGAGGAGGCCGCAGCCAAGAGAGCCAAACTCCAGGAGGACACGAAGAAGAAGCAACAAGAGCAGAAACACAAGAAAAAGTAAAAGATCCGTCGAATCATATATTATGTCAGTTTTTTATTTCAGCTCTCGGTAACTTTACACGTTGTTTTCTCATCGTGCAGAATGGCGTGGTGGGAGTCGTGCGGCTACAGGTCGCAATGTCTGCCGCCGGTAAACAGTGAAGAAGAAGAGGAAGAGGATGACAGCAGCGTGTGCTCCACAGACTCCGACAGCACGGCCATCAGCTACGTTCTGGGGGATGTTACTCATCCTCACGCCGCTCAGGGAGACGCCATCATCGTCCACTGTGTTGGTACGAAACCTTCGTATGAGATAAAGAGAAAGCTAGCAGAACACGTGCCAAATTATTGAATTTAAAGCTGCTGCGAGGAACTTTCATTTCTCTTGATTTTGTCGCCCCTGTGGACTAAAGTGGTAGTGTCTCTGAGCACCAGACTCCCTTTAAAATGTCAGAAAATTTGATGATTTTTTAAAAATATATTGAGAGAGATTTAGTTCATTTGAAACCATTTAGAAATAGATGAGACCTCTTCATCTGCTTCCTGTATCGGTGTGATGAAGAGCAACAGGACATCGGAAGATGTTTAGTTGTTGTAACGAGTAATGTTTTGTGTGAAGATGACTCGGGCCGGTGGGGAAGAGGAGGCCTGTTCACCGCTCTGGAGGTCCGATCAGATGAACCACGGAAGAAGTACGAGTCGGCTGGCAAGATGAAAGGTGAGATTACCCACGATTACGCAACACTCTTCATCTGTCACGTCTGGTTGACATGAAATGAAAAATAAATTAACAAATTTAAAGTGTGACCTTTGTGCTTTGTTTCAGATCTGGAGGTTGGAAACGTGCTGCTCTTCCCCATCGATGACAAACAGTCCAGATTAGACGGCCGGGATCAAGTAGGTTCTGTTTAACTGGTTTAAAAAGTTGCTCTGATGTCTTTAGAGGAGAAAAATATTATATAAAACGGCCATATAAAAACAATCTCTGCTCTCTGACAATAGATGCACACTTGTCTGATTTAAAAACATTCTCCTTTGCAGTCGCAGCGACACAAAATGATGATGTGACACACTGGGTTTGTGTTCAGGCGCGGTGACAAAATTGTGAAGATGTGAGAAACAATAAAATACAAATAACGGCTGAAGCTGTTTCTTTCACCTCAGCTGGCCTTGATCGTCGCACAGCAGAGAGACAAAACCAACAAGCTGTCTGGGATCCTTCTGACGGCTCTGGACGACGGTCTGAAGAAGATTCACGCTGCAGCTAAAAGAAATAAAGGTACGTTCAAGTTGTTGTCTGTTCAGAAGCGTCAACAGCACACAATAATGAAGCCTGTCTGAGGACAGACACAAGGAGCGTGATGAAAGGTACAAAGAACAGTCTGTGTTATATTACAAACACATGATAAAGATTTATGTTTCCTTCAGGGTTTGTTCTGGTTAACAGGTGAACACCTGGAGCTGAGATTACCTGCCTGAGTCAAGTCTTTGTTTACCTCGTAGAGAACCTTTCTGACCACTAGTGACTATTATCTGTGTGTTCTCTCCACAAAGCAAGCGTCCATCTCCCTCGCATCGGCCACTCCACCAGAGGCTTCAACTGGTACGGCACGGAGAGGCTCATCAGGAAGCACCTGGCGTCCAGAGGCGTCCCCACGTTCATGTATCTTTAAAGGATTTCAGCCCAATCTAAAAAATACAAAAGAAAAGGTTTACGCTCAAATCCGAGATTCATAAATACTGTTTTACTCTGCGAACGAGTTTAGAAGCGATGATGTGTGATGAAGAGAACACACACCTCTTCAAATATATGCATTGCATATTAAAACCACATTCATAATCAGATTCTTTAATAGACAACAATAATTTTAAACTGTTAGTTTACGAAATGCATCTACGCTTCTCAGATCATTGTCATAATTAAATATGTTTCGAAGCTTCTTTTGAGGTTTTTGAACGAAGCTTTTTGGATGTCTGTCATATTTTATGACATTATTATTATTATTATTATTATTATCACGCTAAAGAAAACAGCTACTAATATTATTGTAGTTGTATTTATTTATAGTACAGAATTATCAGAAAGAATAGAGATGCAATGAAGCAGCTGAGCAGCAATAAACTGAAAGTATTGGATACAGCCGTGTTACAGTTATGACATCAATGATCTCTGCTGGACTTGTTTTGCTTTGGTTATGTATCAATGCAGTTATTACAGCCAGAGATGTGTTCTCATCTTCTCTGTCTTCTACTTCAGACACTTTTGTCTCATATTTTATCAGCATTTTTTATTTTATTTTTTTAATATTTTTTAATTTAGGGTCCAGGCTTCTTTCTTTTACAACCACTTCACCTGTTGTCTCTGTGATGAACCAACAGGAGCAATGGGGGTGTGGCAGTGTGATTATTGCATCAATTCAGAATGATTGTGATTTACTTGCATAAACACGATTGTAAGAACAACACCTTTCCGGTAATTTATCATTTATTTTGTGTGCAAAGTAAGAGCGTCTGTCTGAGTGAGTGAGGCCCGACGTGTCTCTGGGGCGTCGGTTTCTCTTAACTTGACGGACAGCTACTACCACAACAGAGCAGCGAAGAACAACTCAGCTGCTCCTCAGACGTCGACGTCCTCCTCGGAGCCACAGGTGCATCGCTCCGACGGGCCGACCGATGACGAGGCAGAAGCAGAGGCCCCCGGCCCCTCGGCTCCTCTCAGGAGCCTCCGCGGCCCCACGGAGCTCCCCGACTTCATGAGGGGAGTCCGTGTGTTTTTCTACAATCTGGCTGCATCAGAGAGGAAGAGGCTGGCCCGCTACCTCATCACATATCCTTTCAATTCTCTGTTAACCAATCATGTTTTATTTAAACAATCAGCAAAACTACATTCATCACAGCCAGAAGCTGTGAAAACTGTCATTATCGTGAGATTGTCATCTTTCCGACGGTCCTTGAACACATCATGTGTGACGAACGCTGCAGACAGAAACGAAGCTTAAAAGTGTTTCATCACTCGTACAGTTTACGTCTTCAGTGAAAGACAGATCTGTTCATTTATAGTGTTATGATGATTAAAATGCTCCTTAGCTGCTGTGAACTTATGATGGAGACGAGGAGGACGTCATGAGTCCAGAGGTCACTCACATCGTAGCAGAGCCGGAGAGCAACATCCAATCACAGGTCAGAGTTCTTCACTCTATTCATATATGCAGAAGGAAATTAAAGAGACAGTCCTTGTGTGTGTGTGTGTGTGTGTGTGTGTGTTGAAGTGAAGCTATATTCAGAATGTCTTCAGCTCTTTACCTTGCT